AGCGTTTTCCTCATCGCTCTGTTAGTACGTCATATGCTTCGCTGATCTGATTGCTTTATTTGGCCCGTCTATCACCAACATAGGCCAATCAGCTAACCAGTATTTTTGCCCCTTCCCAAAATTACTTCAACGGAAGGTTTCCAGATGGATATGCGGAGCAAATCCATCTGGCGGAGTCCGGTTAACCATTTACTTCTCCTCCTCTGGAATCTTGGAAGTTCAGATCCAAATTTTTTTCATTTCACACACATAGATTGAAGCAAGTCCTTATATATAAAAAGTGGATCAATGACGAAGCCTGTAGGTAGTCAAAGAAAGCCATCCCACCCAAGAACAGAACCTGGTCTATTTGTTGGAGTTTGTTATAAATCTAATGGCAGAATGATGAACTGTGTTGGTCTTGTGAAGTTTGCCATAGTCCAACACAAATTAAAAATGGGCACTGATGAGTTGCTTTGTTAGATTAAAAGAAAAGCATTACAACAGATGAAAGAGATTTAACTCATGCAAAATTTTTGATTACATTGCAGCCTTTCTGCAGGTTCATAAATATAATCAAAAACCAGATGTTCATTATTGCATCTTCCTTTTTTACATTAGTCAATCAACTACATCACCTCTGATTATATTGATTAAAGCTACAATCCATGAGATCAGCACTCTGACTAGTTTTGGGCATTGCTTGAATTTGAACAATTCTGGCTCCTGTCGGTTCTTGATTCTGATACTTAGAATCATAAAGGTTTACATGTTATAAATGAGCTGACTACCTGACTTCTGTCTGGATGAAAGGATCTAAACTTCTAACTTTGTGTGAACATCACTATAAATCAGGCATCCCCAAACTCGGTCCTCGAGGGCCGCTGTCCTGCAGGTTTCAGATGTTTCTCTGCTCCAGCACAGCTGATTTTAATTGATAGTTGCAGGACAGCGGCCCTCGAGGGCTTTGGTGATGCCTGCTATAAATGATCACATAGTTGTTTTCAACCAGTTTATAAATATCAAACCTATGAACTCTGATATAACATAAACTACGGATGGAAAATTAAAGAATTCAATAATTGTTGGAGAATTGAAGGGTTGGAACCAGTTCCCATTAATTCTCAAGGCCCAAACTTAACTTTGACACTTAAATAAAAGGAGCAGCGAGGAAAATCTCCAAACAGACAGCTGGATTTTTATTTGAGCTCCGAATTCTGAAACCACTCCGTCTCCAATGATAAGTTCATGTCTGAGTAAAATAACTTAGGAAAGCGCTCGAGCTCCAGTGAAGGAGATTTTAGGATGTCCAGGAGTTTCCAAATACCTAGAGGTGAACCGCCTCTTCCTATGACGTAGTATGATTAATGTTTTCACCTATCCAGACCAGGAAGAGGAAACTGTCCAGGAAAACCTCTAGAGGTGGCCACAGAATGAAGCCAACTGTTCTCTTTCTGTTAGTTTTGGACAGCTGGAGAACAGAAGCTGATATCAGAACATTTTGGTTTTCCACTTGCTGTCAGATCAGAACCGAAGAAGCCAACATCAAGTATGAGAGACGTTATGAATATTTAAAATAATGAGAAACTCAATAAACTATCTAGTTAAAGTGCTTTAAAGCATAAAAAGTGTTAGCCTTGCATTGAAGCAAGTAAAGAAGCCTCTAAAACTGTTGAAAGCATGAAGCTTTTGGCCATGACCTCCTGTGAAGAGTTGAAGGTGTTTTTTAGACAGATTCATGCTGCTGTACACATGTTGAGGGAAACAAAGTGCTCCTTTTTAAGCAGCTGCTCCCCTCCTCTCCTCACACACGCTCCCTGTTGAGATGCCACCACCCATACTAACCACCAATCCCCACCCAAACCCCAGCAACAAGTACCTCCTTGTAGCGTCTGTGGGTCTCCACCCACAGCAAGCTCACAGAAACCCTGACTAAGCAGGAAAAACCCAGTTAGAGCAGAAACTGAAGCCTGGTTGTGCTTCAGTACAAGCAGGCCTTATCTTCATATTTAATTTGGACCAAATAAACTTCGCTGTGTTGAGTTTAGTGGAAAGATGCATCCCATTGATCCCTCCTCCTTCTCTCCAGCAGGCTAGAACAGAGCAGCTTCTATTTAAAACCCCTGATTTTTAAGGTTTCTGCACACTGAGCTAAACTACTTCATCTGAGAAAATATAAAAACTGAAAAGAAAGTTTCTTGAAAAATGAAAATCTTGCATCAGAAGTTTTCAACAGGGACGTTCTGTTATGACAGAAAATCATGAGGAAACCTGCTGACTTAAACATTGCTGGCAAAACGTCACCATCTCCATCACAAGGAGAGTCAGTCACAAGTCATCACTAAGCAAGCGGCTGCTCACTGTGTAACTGGAAGGAAAAAGTTTGAATAAAAAAAAAAGAGCAGCAACAATAGGGTGTGACTTTTCACTCTAAAAAGCTCTAAGAAATCAGAGCTTTATAATCCTCTGAACACAGACAGATCCAGAACATGGATTACTACACGTGTTAATCTGCTCCTGAACAGTCTGAGATAATATGGAAACGTTGAGTAACACACCCTGTACCAGAAAATTACAAATAACTTCACACAAGCTACATATAGAGATGCTGATTTAATTTTCATTTCTTTGTTGCTTGTGTGCACTGACCACAGTACCAATACCAATAGCATCTCTAACCTAACTGTTACCCCTCGACTGCTCTTTCTGCACTTCTACTTCTTTGAATGTATTGCCACATTGTTGATAAATGTAAAATTGTGTCTGCTTTATAAGTCACTTTGGATAGAAAACATCTGCTAAATGCATAAACATAAACCTGCTTTGATTACTGTGGTTATGCTACTATGGATCTACCTGCAATCAGGCCTGACCTTAACCCTGCAGAGAATCTATAACCTTTGATCAAGAAGGAAGGAAGTCTGTTATTAAAAGAAAAGTCCAGTTAGCCAATGGGCCATTATTTACACCTAAAACTAAAACATTTGCGGTGATTTAATGAATTTAGCGTTAAACAGCAAAAAAATGAAACTTTTTTTTTCATCGCGATCACTTAGTCTGGGAACGGCCATTTTTGCCCAAAGATAGTAACACCTTGCCAACTTGAAGAGGGAAGATTTACCATTGGACTTCTGGGCAGAGAAAAAATGCTTAATTAATCCGTTAATCTCTGCTTTGCATAGTGCACTGGTCGACGCCATCATGGATAACAGCGCGTTGTGACAAACACCAGATACAGCACTGGGACTTGATCAACAGCCGATACCGCACCGTGACATCATAAACCAGTAGGTGGCAGTAGTATTCTTTGACAAACATGGATGCCTCCAGTAAAGCACATTCAAATGAAAATTACTGTTAATTAAAACCAGTTATTTATTGAAAACTGCGATGGACTGGCGACCTGTCTAGGGTGTACCCCGCCTCTCGGCCATTGACTGCTGGAAATAGGCACCAGCACCCCTGGCAACCCCCAATTGGGACAAACGTGTCAGATAATGGATGGATGGATGGATTTATTAAAAGTATGTAATAATTTCATATTTAAAGTAATTTTAGAAGTTTGTATTCTGAATGTAACTGAACTTTTCGTTTAAATCAACTTCCTGAACCCCACACAGGACTGATGCAGTAAAGGCCAAAACAGCCCCAACCGAGACCTGAGTGAATATACTGCCTAATGAGAAGACATTCACATTAACAGGCAGAAATCCTTTTACTGGTCTGATAATGAGAATAATTAGATTTAATGCTGTAAACCAAAATGATCTAATTCATTATTCTTTATTTACAAAATCTATTAAATACATCCGTTTCTCCTGTTATAGATAATTATATAAATTAACTTTTGGATGATGATGCAGATGTATTTGACTCAATAAAATTAGATTTTTTTGTAGGGTAAAAATGGACCTAAATTGGGTTTTTGCCTGAATATTTAAACTGTGGATTAACAGGATGCTTCATGGATCTTTGTGTTTTTAAGACATAAATTCATTTTAATCAAGAAACATGAGAGAAGGAGGAAGATGTTTTATGTCTTCTCCACCTTCTTGTACCTGCAGCTGTGGTCGTTGGGATGTCCCTGCAGCGACCCGGCGGCACGGCTCAGTCCCATACGGGAAAAGGCGTGGAAGTGGCTGAGAGTGGAGTCGGACAGGCTGGAGAGTCCGTCCGTCTCCTGGTCATAGATGTTCTCCCAGTAGGCCTGGAGACCCGGGGTGCTGGACGGATACGCTCCGAACAGGAAGGCGTCCAGCTGGCTGATGATCTCCTGGCTGACGCTGGCCTCAAACTTCCGGGCAAAGAAGGTGGGCCTGGAGGCTTGCTGTGGTCAAAGACGATTAGACTCATTTCAGTCACAAGAATTCAACAGAACATCATCATTTAAAGGGATTTATCTATTTTCCTTTCAGTTTGTTTCATGTTTTGTTGTAGACAGTGTGTGTTTCTCTGTACATGCTGTACGTGTGTGGCTCAGAGTCTGACATTCAGCCGCCTCTCACTGTCCAACCCCAACATTAGAATAATACCAGCCCTGAAAACCGCAGCGGCTGTGAGCTACAAGGATCCCAAAATACCTGCAGCCTCGGGGCTACAGCTGCTTCCAGGATTAGAACCTCTTATAGAATCCGTCCACAGACCCTGACCTCAGATCTGCCACTACAAAGACCCTGGAGCCAGCTAAACGCAGCGCTGCTAATTTGTGAATACGGTGCTATTCTGGGCTTCTACAGTGACCCCAAAAGGAACAAATCTACTATATCTGAACACTTCAACGAACTGGATGTTTAAAGGATTTCTGCTGTTCTTCAGTGCTTCAGGGTTAAATGCCATCTTTATTTTTACGCTCTCATAATAAAGAGTGTATATTGCTCTGATCATCCAATCCTCGAAAACCACCACACTGAGCGGGGTTCTTATATTACAGATGATGTTGGCAAAATGTCCAGGTCCAGAATCATGGGCAGAACTTTTCTAGTTCACTTCAAGGTTAAACATGTAGCTCCCAATCCAAATTTAAATTAAATTAAAAATATATGAAAAGTAATTAGCTGAATAGTTAGTGTTGAATATAGCCCTTTATTTAGTATAAAACTGTATTTTGTGCATATTTCTTATGATTTAGTTTCAAATTTTGTTTGTAATTGTAAATCATTTAAACAATTTCTTTTTAAAGCTTTTTTTTTTTTCTTTCCCCCCATAAAAGTTGTTTTTAAAAAAATACTTAATTTCTATTATAAAATTGACAAATGAATCACCTAATTTTTTATTTGGAATGTTTTTTTTTTTTTACTTATGCAGCAAAAGCAGACATTTTGAATGACTTTTTTTTTTAATAATTTATTTTGCCCGTTATTAAAAGTGCATTGTGCAAGTTTAGAAGGTTAATACATTTTCTCTTTCCAACACATCCAATTATCATCGACCGATAAGTAAAATGAGCTTTCCTCTATTTACCACAGTTGCCCCTATGGGCTTCATTAATCAGTTTATGAAGGAGTGATTCAGGCTGAATCTGTGACGCAGTGTGAACTCTTGTTCTCAGGCCAAGTGCACCTCAAACTCAATCTGAGAATCCACATAAGAGTAAGAAAATATACTTTTTTTCTAGTGCAATAAAAATGGTTGAATTGGAGTCTCACTGGTGATGGAATAAAGAGGCTTTCAAAAAGTAGGGAGCCCCGAACCTCTTATTGAGCTGGTTTAATGTTACCTTTTCTAACATAGACAGTATTCATGGATAAGTGCTCCTACTTTTATTTTGTCTGTCTGCCTCTGTCTCCCTGACACTCATTCGCCTTGCCAGACAGCCGCATACACTGAGCCTGGTTCTGCTGGAGATTTCTTCCTGTTAAAAGGGAGTTTTTCTCTCCACTGTCGCTGCATGCATGCTCAGTGTGATGAATTGCTGCAGTCAGTGACACAATGTCTCCACATGTTCATCCAGGAGAAATGAATCCAACAAAGTCAATGACTGAATACAGGCAGCTCCTTCTTTTAAAATAGAGAACATTTAACTGGGTTTACTGTATGATCTGATACAGTCATCTCTGTAAAGTTCCTTAGGATGACATGTGTTGTGAATTGGTGCTATATAAACAAACTGAATTGAATAGATCTGCTCTGGGAATGAAAAGAATCCACAGTTGTCCCTCTTCTTGCTAAAAAGTAAGAAATCCTGTTTAGAATAACTTCAATACTTTCTTACCCAGGATGACATCATGCCTCTAAACAAAAGACCTGTGTGTTGCTGCAGCAGACTGTGGAGTTTTCCTCTTCTCCCGTGAAATGACACCAGTGCTCAACACTAGTGTCATTTCCAAAAACAACCCAATGTGAATTCTTACTTTAAGGAAAAGTTTTTTAAACCAAATACTGCAGCTGAACGTAAGCTTTGGATTGATCTTTTGCTTTAGATGAAGATAAATAGCTGTAACTTAACTTTTTTATTATTTTGAATTTGTTTTTTGGGTTTTCTTTTATAAATTATTTTACGTTTTCAAGATTAGATTAGTTCCGTTTTCCAGTCCTTTCCATATGTCCAGAATGATACAGTGGGGCAAAAAAGTATTTAGTCAGCCACCAATAGTGCAAGTTCTCCCACTCAAAAAGATGAGAGAGGCCGGTAATTTTCATCATAGATATACCTCAACTATGAGAGACAAAATGAGAAAAAAATATCCAGAAAATCACATTGTCTGATTTTTAAAGAATTTATTTGCAAAATATGGTGGAAAATAAGTATTTGGTCAGTTACAAATAAGCAAGATTTCTGGCTCTCACAGACCTGTAACTTCTTCTGTAAGAGGCTCCTCTGGCCTCCACTCGTTACCTTCATTAATGGCACCTGTTTGAACCCGTTATCAGTATAAAAGACACCTGTCCACAACCTCAAACAGTCACACTCTAAACTCCACCATGGCCAAAACTAGAGAGCTGTCAAAGGACACCCGGAACTAAATTATAGACCTGCACCAGGCTGGGAAGTCTGAATCTGCAATAGGTAAACAGCTTGGTGTGAAGAAATCAACTGTGGGATCAATTATTAGAAAATGGAAAACATACAAGACCACTGATAATCTTCCTCGATCTGGGGCTCCACGCAAGATCTCACCCTGTGGGGTCAAAATGATCACAAGCACGGTGAGTAAAAATCCCAGAACCACACGGGGGGACCTAGTGAATGACCTGCAGAGAGCTGGGACCAAAGTAACAAAGGCTACCATCAGTAACACACTACGCCGCCAGGGACTCAAATCCTGCAGTGCCAGACGTGTCCCCCTGCTTAAGCCAGGACATGTCAAGGCCCGTCTCAAGTTTGCTAGAGAGCATTTGGATGATCCAGACGATGACTGGCAGAATATCATATGGTCACATGAAACCAAAATAGAAGTTTTTGGTAAAAACTCTACTCGTCGTGTTTGGAGGAGAGAGAATGCTGAGTTGCATCCAAAGAACACCATACCTACAGTGAAGCATGGGGGTGGAAACATCATGCTTTGGGGCTGTTTTTCTGCTAAGGGACCAGGACGACATTCTTTCCTTCAACCGTGTGAAGGAAAGAATGAATGGGGCCATGTATCGTCACATTTTGAGTGAAAACCTCCTTCCATCAGCAAGGGCATTGAAGATGAAACGTGGCTGGGTCTTTCAGCATGACAATGATCCCAAACACACCGCCCGGGTAACGAAGGAGTGGCTTCGTAAGAAGCATTTCAAGGTCCTGGAGTGGCCTAGCCAGTCTCCAGATCTCAACCCCATAGAAAATCTTTGGAGGGAGTTGAAAGTCCGTGTTGCCCAGCGACAGCCCCAGAACATCACTGCTCTAGAGGAGATCTGCATGGAGGAATGGGCCAAAATACCAGCAACAGTGTGTAAAAACCTTGTGAAGACTTACAGAAAACGTTTGATCTCTGTCATTGCCAACAAAGGGTATATAACAAAGTATTGAGATGAACTTTTGTTATTGACCAAATACTTATTTTCCACCATATTTTGCAAATAAATTCTTTAAAAATCAGACAATGTGATTTTCTGGATTTTTTTTCTCATTTTGTCTCTCATAGTTGAGGTATATCTATGATGAAAATTACCGGCCTCTCTCATCTTTTTAAGTGGGAGAACTTGCACTATTGGTGGCTGACTAAATACTTTTTTAGGTGGGCAGTTTCAAACATCTGGAATACGCTGTTCAAACACAGAGCGAGAAGCATCGCTATACAGAGTTACTCACACTGAGATCACCAACCAACTGGTTAATTAGCTTAAAACCAAACAGCATAAACAAAACGCTTAAAGACCATATCTATCCTAAACAGCAAAATTTTATTTCATCAGATTTTAACTGATAGCAGGAAAAGTAGGCAGCTGGAATCTCACCTGGAATCGCGGCAGATCTGAGGGCTTGAAGTCATTTGGAGAGCAGCCACACCAGTCCACTATGTGCTTGTACTGGCACTTACATCCCAGCTTGCGGTTCCAGTTGGTGAGCCTCAGGTTGTTGTCCACCATGGTCTCACAGTGGACGCTGTTTTCCAGAACGGTGTGGAAAAAAGACTGAGAGAAGGATAAACATGTCTTTATATCACCTACCAAAACAAGACAAAAAAACTCCTAAGGAGATTCCTGTTTCCAATTTCATTTTCTCATTTTTATAATACACTTTTACAGTATATAATAATAATGCTTTCTTTGGCTAAATGTGGCTCCAAAATTTCACTGTATTTCATGTTAAAATACGCTGTTTATCTTTTAGCCACAAGGGGCGCTAGACCTGTGACTTTTTTTCAGCTTTTTGATTGTCATTACACTGTCACAAGTACAGAGCAACAAAATGAATTTTCTGCATTTAACCAATCCTCTTGATGAGTGGTGGGCTGCCACTGTGCGGCGCCCGGGGAGCAGCATGGGGTTAAGGGTCCAGCTCAGGGACTGTGGTCTGTGTGAGTGGGGCTTGAACCTCTGGAACCCATTTTGGACCAGCAGAAAATACTATATCATAAAACGAAAGTATATTTGATCAGATAAAATTAAATCTGTTTTGTTCCTTAACAATTTATTGAGGGTTAGCTCTCATGTTTAAAGGTATAATGGAGGATTTTTGCAAATTGAAAAGACCCGCCCTATCCACCTTTAAAAAAATGCACATGCACAACCCTGTACCCGCTCCCGAGAGGGAACGCCTATTAAACGTGTGCGAAAGCTTGCAGGAGCCCATTTCTCCTCATGCACGCTCTCTTTAAAAGTTGCTATGTGCATTGCTCATACAAGGTAACTTTCCGAAATAAGATGTGCAATTCTTCTACTATGTCAGACTGACCACTGTACATAGGAAAATGGGGACGAGCATGTAGGATAGCCTTACCTAAACAGATCACCAGGTTGATTGACAATTAGGGGGACCACTTATTTTGATGATCCACCCATAAAAAGAAAATCCTCCACTATACCTTTAAGGGAACTTCTGACATGTGTTCTGGTTGACATCACTAAATCTGTGATGGATCCAACCCTTTAGACTTAAAAAGGTGGGTTTTGGAGAAGAGCTGCCAGGATTAAAAAGCCTCAAATGATGCATATTGGCCATAAAAATCATTTAATATGTCTTAAAATAAACTAAAACTTCTATAGAAATGTTATGTTGTGTTGCTTAAATATTGCCAATTTGTATTCAAAGATTTAAAAGATACTTTGATAGAAATTAAAACTATTTCTGTTTTTACAAATAATTTATTTTATGATCATATCATAGAAATAAAAAATTGATAATCGAGATAATTTTTGTTTTATTAGATTTTTAAAGACCAAATGAATGGGTAAATCTATTACTTCTATTACTTATAAAATAACTATTTTCTCTTCATTAAAACTCTTCTTTATTACATTATTTTACTTTCTTATAACTATTAAAAATTTATAACATCATTAACTTCACCAACTAACATGATTTCCGGATTTACATTTTTACGTTTAGTTTTCTACCCATTAAAAAATATGGTTTAACTTAATAAATGTTAAACCAAAATATTTTACTGGAAACGTTTGGTTTTCAATCAATTAAAATGTGGATTATTAAATTTGCATCACAACTAGGGTATAAAAATTGTTCCCTTTTCCAACCTCACATTGTTTAATTATTCTTTCTAGATTTTATTTTTTTTTAATAAAACACACTTTTAAAATTAACCAATAACCCCCCCAAAATCTTTTTTGTTATTATTCTTATATATCATATAATAAAAAAGTTTATTAAAGCCTTATATATTTTCAGTTTTATATAATAAATGTTCTTCTTAATGAAAAAAAATATATGCAACTTAATGATAAAAGGATAAAAGGTCTTAAAAACACAAAATGATAAAAGGACCAAAACAATTAGTTTAAACTTGTTTGTGATAAAATGATTCCTGGTTTCACAGATCATCTTATGAAGGGTCTGTGGGTCTGGTACCTCGGCTGGTAGCAGCGTGTAGGCGTAGAAGCGTTTCATGTTGCTGACCAGGTCGTCCCTGGAATTCACTACATAATCCACAAACGGCCGACTGAGCAGGAACCAGTCGGAGCCTCCGTCCACGGATACGCCCTCCGGGATCTTGCGGTCTCCAAGACGCCACATGTGTGTGTCGCACTCGTAGAAGACCCGGTCCAGACCCTGCTTACGGATGAAGCTGGGAAGAGACAAAGCAGCCTGGAGTTACAGTACGTCCAACATTTTACTGATCTGAGGAGAAAAGGTTAAAGGAGCAAAGCAGAAAAAACACAAACTTTCTTCCAAAAAGATTTTGCTTTTTGTCCTTGGAGAAAGAAAGTTACCACAATTCTTGTTGTTTCTAATGTTTTTCACCCTTTTTAAACTGCATGAACAGCAGCTAAATGGATATAATACCTATTTCTTTTAAAAGGAAACTGCATACCTAGAACCAGAACTAAACATGGAGAAGCAGCATTTAGTTCCTATGCTCCATTTATCTGGAACAAATTTCCAGAAAACTTTAAAAGTACGTAAAGCCTAAATTTCTTCAAATCAAGACTAAAAACACATTTGTTTATAATTGCCTTCGACTGTTCTAGTTAAAAAGTTCACCTGAGTTAGTTCAACTTTCTTATTTTCTTTAGTCCAACTGTTTTTAATGTTCTTTTTGGTTTCTGAATTTTGTATTTTATTTATGTATTTATTTTTTTCCTACTTGCTTTGATTCTGTTTTATTTTCCTATATTTTAAATCATGTAAAGCACTTTGCATTGTCTATGTACTGAATTGTGCTTGCCTTGCCTTTTAAAAATTGTTTTAAGAATGTATTTTAGGGATCTGCTGCTGGGCCAATCCCTGATTTATCTATGGACTTTGCTGCAAACTATCAACAGATACTGAAAATTAACAGATGTTTATACAGCTTTAATGTTTCAAATCCCTGTTGATCAAATTTAAAAGAAGACATTCAGCAAATGTGACAAAAAACTGAAAAGAGTTAAGAAAAGAAGGTTCCTGGTTTCTTACCGAGCATTGTCTCTGCCATGAGATTTGATAAAGTTCATGTTGCGGTATCTGGAGAGGAATGCCACCAGCTGGTCGTTGGTCCTAAGGAGGAGCAGCAGAATATTAACAATCCATTTCCAGGGAAAAATTAACCTGATCAATCAGGAAGTGAGAAAAACAAGATCAAGCAGACAATAAATACATAGAATAAAAAAATAAACTAAGAATAATCTACATAATATTTCAATTTGAATAATAGATTCCATAACACATTCCAGCTGGGTTGTTACAACTACAATTTTAGGCTATTTGTAAATTTATGTTCCTAACTTCATAACAAAAAAGTTAATAAATGAAATTTAAATCAGCCTCACAAAGAATTAAGGACCTGCCCAGGGTATACCACTCGTCTGGCCCACAGACTGCCTTATGATAGATGGATGGATGGATGGATGGATGGATGGATGGATGGATGGATGGATGGATGGATGGATGGATGGATGGATGGATGGATGGATTGACAAATGGAGGGTGGATGAATGGACGGATAGACGGATGGATGGATGAAGGATGGATGGATGGATGGATGGATGAATGGAGGATGGATGGACGGACGGACAGACAGATGGATGGATGAAGGATGGATGGATGGATGGATGGAATAATGAAGGATGGATGGATGGATGGACGAACGGATGGATGGACGAATGAAGGATGGATGGATGGATGGACGAACGGATGGATGGATGGATGGATGGATGGACGAGACAAAATGATTTTAACCTGGCTGTGGATCCGCCTTTGTTGAAGCTTTCCTTCTCACCAGTAAAGCAGCAGTCATGATGTAATGTGTTTACATGTAGGCTACAACCTCAGGATGGAAGTAAACTTGGTGAAACCCCACAGCTGTTTTCCTCCAGACTTTAAAGTGGAGTTTATCTTTAATGGTCTCAACTATAACAGGATACGACCTCGTTTGAAGGAAGCGTCTTCCATTAAAGGAAAGCGTGTTTCCTTGTTTGGTCAAAGCTGGACTGATTTGTTTCATCAGCTGCTGAGCGAAGCCTGATGAGGAAACTGATGACTCAAAGAGATATTGGTCTGATGAGACAGGACCGCCGGTTGGTTATTCCTGATTACATCCGATTACTGTCTGCAGTGGTTGCTGTGTGACTCTGCTGTTGTGAAGATGGAAAAGAAACGGAAAATGGATGTTCTGGTTGTTCTGTCTTTACGAAATAGGACCCTCTTTCTTTCTTTTCCAAATCTGTCTGAAGGAAATCTGAAAATTATAAATTAGAGCACAAATATCTGTTTTTATTTCTTGTTCCATTCTCTATAAGTACATCTCCAATGTAGACATTTCTAAAAGAGATTAACAGTGAAGAAGGAACTTGGCCAACTTAATGCGGGGGCATTTCCACATAGAAATAAAGTTTAGGAACCCAGTTTAAAGCAGGATTATTTATCTGACCTTCTCCTGACCTGCAGGAAGAAACTGTCCTGTCCTGTTCTGTTTTACCGAATCCTTTCCATGAGCCGATGTGACCCCACAGCTATCGATGGATGGATGGTGCTGATGCTGCGGTATGGATTTTAGCTGGAAGCATGTTCGGCCTCTCATGCTGGTGATTAGTTTCTTTGATCTGCTGTTTTTCCGTCCTTATGAGGACAAACCGCAGGGAGGAAACAGCATGGAAAAACCCAAACAATGAGCAGAATCACGCGGCACAGATGGGTCCAAATCTCTCTCTCAGGATTAGGCATTTAGTTCAGCCTGAACCTTCCAAACATCAGTATTTATTGTCGGTTCCTGCAATAGTTTGCTTTAACATCACTGTTTTACTTACAAACTAATAATCTTGACTTATGTTGATACTTTAGGGTCAACAGCAGACAGAACAGCTGCTTTTTCCACATTTCTCTGTACTTCCTTTCCAAACAGCCAGAGTTGTCTCCATGCTTTACACTAAACACCAGAATCAAAGTGCATGTTGATCATCAACATAAATATTAATGCAACATATTTACAAGAATTTTCACCAGTTTACAATCATTGCCAGTTCTGCTGCACTGCTCTTATATGTTGCTCAGCAACAAAGATTTAATTCATCCATGTTTTTTTGAATGTGGGAGAAAAGCAGCGTATCCGGAGAGAACAAAAGGAGAAAATGCAAACTTTATCCAAAAAGACTCCAACCTTTTTTGCTGGAAGGTGTAATAGCATCAATATGTGTGGTGAATTAACGATAGTGATAAAAAGTACAAAAGAACATTTGATAGCAATGGTGAGATATCAATTGACACACTGTTAGATTCAATAAATCACAGTATTTGCACTGATGAGGCTCGTTTGTCAGATTAGAAAAACCTTCAATCTGTTTTTCTTTGACCAAGTTACTGAATTACTTTTTAATCATCCTTTTTTATCAAACGTGTCAGTAGCTATAACTCTAAAAATGGTCCTAGTTTTTATAATGATGTAATCTGCCATTATTCTGTCAGACGAGCATACTTCGTCATAACCAGCATAGTCAATAAGCATGTGCAAGACGTCAAATTTGCGTTTATTCCTTTAGTTTTGTACAATAAATTGACTTTCAACTACCTCAATGGGTGTGTATCCCCTTAGCCATGTACAAAAAAAACAAATACGCTTAAAAAATCACCAAAAAGTAAGTAATTAAGTTGTTTTTTTTGTACATGACTAAAGGGATAAATGCCCGTTGAGGTAGTTTAAAGTTTCACTAATTTTTCATTACAAATATTATTTGGAAAAATTGGACTGAAAATGGGTGAAAAAAGCTACTTGAACATTTGAAAAAAGTTTGTAGGTTTTCAGAAAGTCTGATTTGATACGGCACATTTTTAACAGTCAGACTGGAAGAAAGAAAGGTATGGAACTGGAACCGGATTAGGACAGAGTCACTCAGAACAACCCAAAGAAGGAAAGTGAAGACCTTTCTAAGGTACTCGAGTTTGATGCCTTAAAATGCTGAGATGATTTTTTATCTAATAAAGCATTAAGATTTAAGTAAATTAAAGATTAATCCCGGGTTCTGTTTCTGAATATAATGGAAAGTTATTCCTTAACATTTTTTTCTTTTTGAACCTGAAATAGCTTGTGTAGAAAATAAAAAAATATATATTTGAAATGACAGCCGTTCACCTGATGGGGTAATCAGCAGCGCTGAGGTTGATGAAGAAGTCCCAAGACCAGTCAGCCATCTTGAGGAGGTCATCCATGCTGCGTAGGTACATGGTGAGGAGACTGGCTCCACCCCAGATAGTGGCCATCCTCCATGGAGTCACTCTGACGTTTGGGAACTGATCTGCCAGAGATAGAACCTCTCTGTGGAGGTAATCTGACCTCTGAGGGGGACGAAGACAAACAAGGAGAGGTCATTTAAACAGTCACATTAATGGAACAACCAACAGGATTACAGGTCAGAGTAATGCGGCTGGAGATAAAACTATGGAATAGAGTGCATTGATAAAGTATTCACACCCCTTTAACATTTCTAGTTTTAAAGGAAACAATAAATGGTAAATACTACTTTTACAAATTAAAATGTGTAGAATTGTTGAGCCTTTGCTTTATCTTCCAATTCAGTAATATACCTTGAGAAGTTACTTTATCAGGTAACAGAGCCTGTTTCATGCCTCAGAGGTTTTTTCGTTGAAAAGAAACAAACAAAAAAAGAATCATAAAGACCAAGGAATCCATTAGAAAGGTCAGAAGGGAGGTTCTAAGATGTTTAAAGTTAAGCATGAATGATTTTGCCAGAAAATTACAATTATTTTCACTAATACTGCTATTTTATTTCAATATTCCTTTACACTTATGTCAAGCTTGTGTTGTTTCATCGCAGGCTTTCAGTTTTTGAAAGCTTGCTTGAAAGGAGTTCATTGTTCGAGGATTTTAGTTACATTTTTGTGGAAAAGTGCTTCCTTCTACTTGCATGCATGAATCTGTGTGGTACCTCCAACTCTGTTTACCTTTCTGTGTGGCAGCAAACTCACTTTAAGAATTTTACTGCTACTTAAAGAGCTGCAGTAAGAAATGTAGGGTTTTAATTTTGCCAAATATAATGGGACTAAAAGTGCCTCTGCTATTTGAAAATTGGATTTTATTAAATTATGATTATATTGCAAATGCAATTAAATGCCCAGCACTATTTAAAGTAAAGTTAGGTTCTATCCCAGATTATGGACAAAGAGGATGGAGAAATCACAGAGCTGCAAAGATGAACATCTACCTAAACTGAAAGGCTGGGAAAGGAGAGCATTGGACAAAAGAGGACTATGGTAACTCTGGAGGAGCTGTAGAGTTCCACAGCTTATAAATATCAACACTTAAGGACACAACATCTAAAAAGAAATCCAATACTGAAGACAAGCTTTAAAATCACTTTCTTCATCAGAACTAAAGGAAAACTAAACAAGGCAGCAAATTATCACTGAAGTCAGCTTCTTGAAACATGATGGTGGTGCTAAATACAAGAAAATTCTGGAATTAAATAGATCAATTTAGATTAAGGAATTTTCATGCATTGGCACGGCCAAGTCAACCTTCAAGGCTTTTCAAGAAAAATCTGCTCTATAATCTGTGATATTTGTCCGTTTCTAGTCTGGTTAAGTTAAGTTTGTTTTGCAAAACGAGAAACATTTATGAGCAATTCCAGCTGCAGTTCTGCATATCACCAAGGAGTTAAATACACTGCAAAAAATCTAAATCTAGATAAGTAATTTTTTCTTAAAATAAGTGCATTTGTTCTTGTATTGAGGAGGTAAAAGAGACATTTTGCCAACGGAACAAGACAATTTACACTTGAAATAAGAAAACACAATTGCATTGTCTTATTTCAAGTGCATTTTATCTAAATATCTTATTTCAAGAGTAAAATTACTCATTCCATTGGCAAACTATCTCATTTACCTACTCAAATTAAGGGTGAATACACTTAATTTAAGAAATTTTTACCTATTTCTAGATGGTTTTTGCAGTGTACAAATTGATGCCGCACTTTTCAGATATTTACACATAAAAACTGTTGAATGTCATGTTCTATTTCCCTCCAGTTATTCGTGTTGGTTTGTCATATAAAACTTCAATAAAATAGGACCTTGGATGTAAAGTGGAAAGAAAGACATTTGTAAAGTATCCCAAACTGAAAAGCAAAAAAATGTGTCGGGTTACATTTCTGAACCGTGCTTACAGATTTAGAAGGTATTTTAAATCCAACAGTCTGACCCGTCCGCCTGCTGTGAATGTTTATGATGAAGAAGAATAAAACCTGAGGTCCTTACCTGATCTACGTGGATGTAATAGAAGTGTGACGTGTGGTAAATGGCTTTGAAGAGTCTCTGAAACTGACGTGAGGCGCGACCATGGATGACCAGAACAAAGGCGATGCGAACCGGTGGAGAGCCTTTGGGGGTCGCATCGTCATCCCACTGAATGTTTACATTAGCCTTACCTGGACAGAGAGGAAAGGAGGTGGGTCAAAGGTCAGATAACATGAAAGCTTAGGTTTAAAGAAATCAGCTCTACGACTACTGTGAAGAGATGGCTGCAAAACAACAGTTCAGCTGTAGCCCCTAATGTTCCTCAACTTTTTGTAATTAATGGAGTTTCATTGTGGCACAATGCAGTAAGGTCTATTTTAGGGACAACAGGGCTGATAGGATTCAGTTCGATTTAATGCAACAAGACGCCTAAAAAGCTGTAATTAATTATCTTAATAAAACCTTTACCAAACTGGTTTGGTCTGCTTTTGCACTTTAATTTAAATACCAGTATCTCACTCCGGTTGCAAACAAGGTTCTTCTGAACAGCATCCTACTGGGCTATTATTTTCTTTTTCTTTTTTTTTTTTTGCTCAGTTTGTTAGTAAACAAAACTTTTTTTGTGTATAATTACATTCACACCACGTGACTGGAGGTATGATATTGTGAATGTGCACGACAGGTAAACAAGGAAGTAATGAGGCTAAGAAAGTCTGGTCCTCTATGGCAGAGGTGCAAAAAGAAAGACAAAAAGTTTAAGATCCAGGTTGAAGGAGCACAAAATGATATCTGATTCTAAGAGGAAACACTTGAATAGTAGCCTGGGTGCCAGTCCGAACTTAGTCCCACCCACAAGGTTTGAGTTCGGGGAAGTTTGGTCTGGCATTGCTCCATAGTAGCGCGAGTATTATCGCCCACTGTCAGGCGATCCAATCAAATTGTCAGGGCGGGCTTTATACGATGATGGACAGATGATCAACAGTAACGTAATCAACCACGTCATCAAAGCGTGCTTGGGTGACAACAATAATGGCTGCCGCCGGAGAGTTTGGGTGAGTAGATTCTGCTATTAGGTCTGTTCTAGAAGATATCGACAGCAAATTAATTTTAAAAGAGGAAAAGAGAAACGCGATCAAGTCTCATCTTCTTATTCTAGGCGTGAAACTGCACGCTTTGATTTTTGTGGACAACAACTATGCCTCGCTTAACATACGTCACGCACTCCGTTGCTCTTATTGGTTGTAGGTCTATCCAATTGAGTGCAGAGGCATTTTTTTTCCTGGTTCGTTCGAAACACGCCCCATAATCACAGCTCTATGGAGCAGCATCAGACTCATTCTGACTAGAATTGAGTCGGACTACGTCAGGCTACTTGAATAGTGTTTAGAAAACTGTTTTAATGTTGGTGTTTAGTAAAGAAGAATAGAGCCGAATCCAGACTTTAAACTGAATCAAGTTCTGGGCTTTAACCACTTTGTCCAAATTCTTCAATTTAAAAGCTGCATGTTTGTCCGGCTTAAAGCGGAAGCAGCCAATGCTGCCAACACCGTGCTTGAAGGGGGATCGTGTGTTTAGAGTATTGATTGCATGGTTAACAGTTTTATCATTAGATTATCTCATCTGGGCTGTAGGTCCCTGCATCTCTTTCACATGTATCATGGGTTTGGCACTGGTCTATTACATTAAACCCAATTAAAATGAATTAAAGACAGCTATTGTTATGTAACAAAAAGAAGAAAGCTGGGGCAAAGGCCTGAACTTTATGCTCTGGAGGCAGTGATGCTCCACCTTCTCACTAAAATGGTCGGGTCGAGGTTTTCTAGAACAAATGAGTGACCTCTTGGCTGTGGGCCATGCTGGGAAATGAACTGGATCTGTAATCAGGAGGTTCTGCTGAGCCGTGTACGCCCTTTGACGTGGACTAAAATGCCTGAAAATTTCTACGTCTCTTTGGACCTAATGACTACTGTATCATCAAAGAACCCTATAATCATATGAAGTAACCCTCGGCGGCCCTGGGGTGGCTCTGAGAGGGAGTCATTAGTCAGCCCTTCTAGAATAGGACTACAAACGGGTTGTTTAATTAGGGTGTAATTACCCCGGATGAGCAGCGTCCTCTCTGCGTCTCTTCATGCCCTGAAAATAGAGCTGTTGACCACAGAGATGGGGCTCTCCTTCAAGGAAACTCGCTCTGCTAAAATTGTTCCTCAAAGGGTAAATTTAGAAGGAAGAACATCTGAAGCCACAGCTGGTTTCTAACATTTCCTACATGCTAAACTCAAAGACTGACTAAGTTTCCTCCCGGATGCTCTCACCTTCCACAGGGCAGTAACGAGGGACCTTCTCAGGAATCAGTGCCCCCTCTTTGTGCTTGCAGTAAACCTCCACTATCTGCTGCCGGCACTCCCGACTCTTGGCTCTGGACAGAGCAGAAATGGCCTCTTTCCCATTGATTTCACACTGTGGCTGCTCCTTGTTTGGCTCCAGACCCGGCGGCGACGGAGGTGAACCTGGCCTCTTTGTATGAGAAAAGGGGGGATCCTGATTGGATCCCGGAGCCGGCACTGGATGGGTTAGAAGCTGTGGGAGGGCCTTCTGATTGTGGGTCTGGTTGTGAACTTTAGGGAGGATGGGAACATGCTTTAGGACGTCATTCCCAATCATGCTTTGGTTCTTTTCCAGTTTTCGTGGTCGCTGGCGCTGCGATCGCGCTCCAAGGTTGCTGTTGCTGTCGATGGTGTCAAAGTCTTTTGGGACAGAGTTCTCATTGTTGTTGCTGTCCGGACGGAGTTTCTCTTTAAGACGGTGCGGATAGTGGACATCCTGCAAAGCAGAAGACAAACACATCATAAGAAAGACACTAAATGTTTCCAAGATATGTTTACTTTCTCAAATTCAAATTCAAAGTTCCCAAGAACAAACCTGAAATATTGTCAAATGTAATAAAAAAATCTAATTAAATGTCCCCATTGACTTAGAGCTGGAATAAAATTTGAAAAACAGAAAACATGATGGATATGATAAAATAAGACTAATAACATAAAAGTGTCTAGAGACATGAATCAATATCTCGTTCAATGTTATAAAACGGGACATTTTCTTGGAATCATTGAGAAGCAACAGTGTCAGACAACAAAAGAATAACAACTAATTCAAACTTCTACTGAAAACTAGGCAGTGATAATGAGGATGCTAACCTTTTAGCAGGAAATTACTTCAAAAAGTCAGAATGATCCCTTTAATCTGCTTTGTATAAGTATCCCAAAAACGTTTTTTACAATGTATATCAAACTCAAAATAATTTAATAATGTGGCTGATGAAAACGTATGGTGTTTAGCCTTTCCTATGAGAAAGATCAAAAGTATTTGCTGCAAAACATGATATTTAAAATACAATTTTAAGACCCTGGCAGCTGTTTTTTAACATTTTAACTACCTTTTCTGCTTTAGGCCCATTAGGACAGCAAAATGCTTTGTCATGCCCCCCTCCTGAAACATTTGTAATATGAATTTAAAGACATGTCCACCCATTCTAACTCAGCAGTGCAATGCAACCTTAATGGTTTCTCCTAATCCTTCAAATCTCCCAAAATTCCTTTTTTTCCCCCATAGAGTATGAGTGTGAGAGACGGTGGTGATATCAGCTTTGACCACCTGTTCCACAGACAGCCTTTCATTATCTCATCTCTGATATCAGCTTAGAGGAAAGTGAGCGCGCATAGAGCCGCAGCGAACATTTCCAGCTCTGCAGGCAACATTTTGAATAACAAGGGGAGAGATAAACAGCTTTCCCACACAGAGGATTTATTATGTTTTCCTGAGCTTTTGAAACCTTAATGTCTTGTTTATATTAGTCAGAATAATGAAAAGCATTAACCTCGTTTTGCAGCTGGTGACCTGCAGTTAACTGGAGTCATATACGCTGTTTACTTAGAGTAGACTCCAACAGCATATTTATCTTAACTGTCATTCGTAAATGAATGCATAAATGGCCACTTTCTGGTATTCAATAATGCAAGACTGATATGAAAGCTCCCGACATGAGAAAAAAAAAAAACTTCCATTTAAAGCCGGTCAGTCAGGTTCTCGTTTATATAAAGTAATTTAAGATTACTGGGTACTATTTATTTTTATTGTGTCTATTATAAATGTTCTTATTTTTTCATAGAGTATGATGTTTATATATAGTAACAGGAGCAGCAGAGCTATTCATTAGGATTTAGCGAAGAATTTCCAGGGCCGTATAAGGAAAGCAGGATGATGAAACACAAGAAAACAAGAGAGAACAATAGAAACCAAGAGCTAAAAAATTCCAGATGAGTCTAATAACAGCTGAGGAGTACAGAGCAGGAAGCAGCGGAAGATGACTGATTAACAAAGAGGAAGCTGAAGCACAAAGGGAACTACAAAGCAAGGAAGAAAATAGACTGATATAGCAAAAAGGTGTGTTGCAAACTAAAAATAAAAAATGCTGAAAGCATTGAAAAATAAGAACAATTAAACAAAAAATTAGATCAATAAAACCAAAAAACAAGGGTAGAGAAAATGTCAGTGCCAAAAATGAATGAATACTGAAGTTGTTTTCAAAATAGTATTATAATTAAACATTAAAGAAGCTCATCTGATGTATAAAGAGAGATCATTCCTCAACAGTTTATTTCTGACTCTCAACAAATATATATAAAACACCATTTCAGTAATAGACTGAAGTAAAGATCCTGATGAGCAATTAGTGCTTTAATCCTGGAAATGTCTACAGGTGATACAAGGTCGACTTTGTTAGTCTTTATGTTCGTCTAAAGGATCAGGTTTGAGTCCATCGCTGCACCCAGATCAGTGGTTTCTCACTGTAACTGCAGGCATGTCGTAACTATAGCAAACGTAACATTTTAAAACCCAACAGGTATTTATTTAGCAAAACCCTGATGTCCTCAAACAAAAACCAGAGAGACAGAAAAGACCTCAGACATGCAGAAACAATAATCAAAACAGAATTGCTCAGACAACAGATGTATTCTTGAGTCCCCAGAAAAGGACTGCTTAATAATATCCAAAGAGACTATATTAGAGGGATTTCTGGTCTGAAATTGATATCATATATGAATCTGATATCAGCCAAATGACTAATAACAGAAAATATGCATCTAAAACCTCCAAAATGTGCATGCTGTTAGAAAGACTCCTCTTCTGTTTCAGATGTTCTCTTACCATTTTTTGTTTTCTTTTATTCTCTGTTCTTAATCAATGATATTATTCTCTATGAAATGAGTAATAAAAGTAATTTAGCATGATTTGTGCTGATATCAAATTGGGTCATTATCGGTATTGGTCCCTACTCAAAGCTGCACTGGAAAAAATCGAAATCTAGATGAGTAATTTTTTCTTAAAATAAGTGCATTGGTTCTCGGATTGAAGAGGTAAAAGAGACATTTTGCCAATGGAACAAGACAATTTACAATTAAAATGAGAAAACACAATTGCCTTGTCTTATTTCAGGTGCATAATATCGGATTATCTTATATTAAGAGTAAAAATACTCATTCCATTGTCAAACTATCGCATTTACCTACTCAAATTAAGAGTAAATACACTTAATTTAAGAAATTTTTACTTATTTCTAAATCGTTTTTCCAGTGTGCAATACCTGTATCGGAAATGAAAAAGTTGTAGCTAAAAGACAGAAAATCTAAAGTGGTTTTATTCTAAGGAAATTCAGTTTATAATTTTCTTCTCAGTTGAACAAAAGATGAACAGGTACTATTTACATTGCAAAGAAAAATTAAGACCTAACGCCCCTTGACAGAAAACTTGTTTCTCTGATCACCACACAAAGGAAAAAATGTGCGTTTTTCCCCAGAAGGCTGTGCAGTCCATGGAGACCGACTACAGCTAAAATACCAGGCTCACCTACAAACACATCTTTCTTTAGTCTAACACAGACCAGACCAGAGTCCCCGCCATCCTGCTGTGGAGATGCTGGGCCCGCCTTCTCAGCAGGTTCTTATTGAAGTCGACTTCACTACAGTCAGACCTCCTGCTGAGTTAACACAAAGGCAGCAGGAACAAAAACCACACACAGAGAGAAATAAGTCCTGAAGGATACCAGCAATAGAAGAGGAGATGGACACAAGAAGGAGAAAACGCTTGTTTGATTTCTGGGATTATCACAGATATTAGGAAAGATGACTGGCGACGATGTTGTTTATATAACAGAGATTAGGTTTAATCCTCCTTGGTTACTGACGTGTAAAAACCTGTGAAATAAATAATAATAATCCTTAAATGCAGAAGAATAATGACAATGATGCTTTTAGAAAACTATAACTGGATCAGCTTCATAAAGCAGAATCTATATCTGCTTATCCGTAAAGAGACAGCGTGGGCCTGGTTCCCACCTCCAGACAAAACAGGTACAGACATTAACTGTAAGCTTATGCATTGGTGGTAATTAATTAATTACTACATTTCGGCTATAAACTTTTCCAGTAACTACAGTAGTTCTCTAAAGTCATTCCTGTTATTTTCACTACAAGAACCACAACTAAATCTGATTATTAGGATTAACAATAGAAAAATTGGAAAGCATAACTAAGAAGCGAAACCGATGAGTGTTCTTCATACAAATTTATATCCATTAGATATTACCGATACAACTATTTCATTTTTCGATGCAATGTCAATTTTACGGCTTTGAGTAACTGATGCCAATATTGACCTGCTACGATATCAGCACAGATTTCTTTTTTATACATTTTGATGCAGTGATTTTATATAAACAGAACAATAGTTAAAATTATCTATGAAAACCATTGTGCCATTTGTTATTGGTCTATGGATTACATTAACTTTAAATAGAAGTGTACATTTATTTTAGATTTTAGAGGAAGGCAAATATAATTCAATACTTGCTTTTTGCCTGATATCAGGCAGATGTTTGATGTGAAACTCTGCAGACGGAGATCTAATGTAAATTAAAAAGAGAGATCATATTTCTCTTTTCCTAACTTTTCTTCATTGGCTTCTTGTTAAATCCGGAATAGAATTCAAAATTATGCTTCTCACATATAAAGCGTTAAAAGGCCAAGCCCTGTTAACAGAACACTTCGCTCTCAATCTGCAGGTTTACTAGTGGTTCCTAGAATTTCTAAAAATAGAATGGGAGGCAGATCTTTTAGTTTTCAGGCTCCTCTCCTGTGGAACCAACT